TGGGGTTTAGGGTTTAGGGTTTAGGGTTTAGGGTTTAGGGTTTTGGGTTCCGGGTTAAGGGTTCCGGGTTAAGGGTTCCGGGTTCAGGGTTCAGGGTTTAGGGTTTAGGGTTTAGGGTTTAGGGTTTAGGGTTTAGGGTTTAGGGTTTAGGGTTAAGGGTTTAGGGTTTGGGGTTTGGGGTTTGGGGTTTGGGGTTTGGGGTTTGGCGTTTAGGGTTTGGGGTTTAGGGGTTAGGGTTTACGGTTTAGGGTTTAGGGTTTAGGGTTTAGGGTTTAGGGTTTAGGGTTTGGGGTTTAGGGTTTAGGGTTTAGTGTTTGGGGTTTAGGGTTTAGGGTTTGGGGTTTAGGGTTTAGGGTTCCGGGTTCCGGGTTCAGGGTTCAGGGTTTAGGGTTTAGGGTTTAGGGTTTAGGGTTTTAGGGTTTTAGGGTTTTAGGGTTTAGGGTTTAGGGTTTAGGGTTTAGGAATTAGGGTTTAGGGTTTAGGGTTCCGGGTTCCGGGTTCAGGGTTCAGGGTTTAGGGTTTAGGGTTTAGGGTTTAGGGTTTTAGGGTTTTAGGGTTTTAGGGTTTAGGGTTTAGGGTTTAGGGTTTGGGGTTTAGGGTTTTGGGTTTAGGGTTTAGGTTTTAGGGTTTAGGGTTTAGGGTTTAGGGTTTGGGCTTTAGGGTTTAGGGTTTAGGGTTTAGGGTTTAGGGTTTTGGGTTTAGGGTTTGGGGTTAAGGGTTTGGGGTTTTGGGTTAGGGTTTTGGGTTTAGGGTTCCGGGTTTAGGGTTTAGGGTTTAGGGTTTAGGGTTTTAGGGTTTAGGGTTTTAGGGGTTTAGGGTTATGGGTTTAGGGTTTAGGGTTTAAGGGGTTTAGGGTTTAGGGTTTAGGGTTTGGGGTTTAGGGTTTAGGTTTTAGGGTTTAGGGTTTGGGGTTTGGGGTTTGGGGTTTTGGGTTTAGGGTTTAGGGTTCTGGGCTTAGGGTTTAGGGTTTGGGGTTTGGGGTTTCGGGTTTAGGGTTTCGGGTTTAGGGTCTAGGTTCTAGGGTTTAGGGTCTGGGGTCTAGGGTTTAGGGTTTAGGGTCTAGGGTCTAGGGTTTAGGGTCTAGGGCCTAGGGTTTACGGTTTAGGGTTTCAGGTTCAGTGTTTAGGGATTGGGGTTTGGGGTTTGGGTTTAGGGTTTAGGGTTTAAGGTTCTGGGGTCAGGGTTCAGGGCTCAGGGCTCAGGGCTCAGGGTTCAGGGCTCGGGGCTCAGGGTTCTGGGTTCAGGGTTCAGGGTTCAGGGTCCAGGGTTCAGGGCTCAGCGCTCGGGGCTCGGGGTTCGGGGTTTGGTGTTCGGGGTTCAGGGTTCAGGGTTCAGGTTCAGGGTTGAGGGTTCGGGGTTTAGGGTTTAGGGTTTTGGGCTCAGGGCTCAGGGCGCTGGGTTTAGGGATAGGGGCTCAGGGTTAAGGGTTCAGGGTTCAGGGTTCATGGTTCAGTGTAAGGGTTCAGGGTTCAGGGTTCGTGGTTCAGGGGTCATGGTTTAGGGTTCAAGGTTCGGGGTTCAGGGTTGAGGGTTTGCAGATTAGGATTTGGGGTTTGCGGTTTAGGGTTCGGGGTTCAGGGTTCGGCGTTCGGGGATCAGGGTTCGGGGTTTGAGGTTCGGGGATCACGATTCACGGTTCAGGGTTCAGGGTTCAGGGTTCAGGGTTCATGATTCAGGGTTCAAGGTATAGGGTTTAGGGTTCTGGGTTCAGGGTTGGGGGTTTAGGGGGTTTTGGCTTTAGGGTTCAGGGTTCAGGGTTAGGGTTTAGGGTTTGGGCTTTGGGGTTTGGGGTTTGGGGTTTAGGTTTAAGGGTTTACGGTTCAGGGTTCTGGGTTCATGGTTCAGGGCTCAGGGCTCAGGGCTCAGGGTTCAGGTTTCAGGGCTCAGGATTCAGGGTTCACGGTTAAGGGCTCGGGGCTCGGGGTTCGGTGTTTAGGGTTCGGGGTTCGGGGTTTTGTGTTCGGGGGTTGGGGTTCAGGGTTCAGGGTTCACGGTTCACGGTTCAGGGTTTAAGGTTCAAGGTTCAGGCATCAGTGTTTAGTGTTCAGGGTTCAGGGTTCACTGTTCACGGTTCAGGGCTCAGGGTTCGGGGCTCAGGGCTCAGGGCTCAAGGTTCTCGGCTGAGGTGTCAGGGTTCAGGGTTCAGGGTTCAGAGTTGAGGGTTTAGGGTTTAGGGTTTGGGGTTTGGGGTTTGGGGTTCGGGGTTCAGGCTTCGGGGTTCACGATTCAAAGTTCAGGGTTCAAAGTTCAGGGTTCAGGGTTCAGGGTTCAGGGTTTAGGGTTCAGGGCTCAGGGTTCAGGGTGTAGGGTTCAGGGTTCAGGGTTAGGGGTTCGGGGATCGGGGTTCGGGGTTTGGGGTTTGGAGTTTGGGGTTTGGGGTTTAGGGTTTAGTGTTTTGGGTTTAGGGTTGGGGGTTTGGGGTTTAGGGTTTAGTGTTTTGGGTTTAGGGTTGGGGGTTTGGGGTTTAGGGTTTGGTGTTTAGGGTTTGGGGTCAAGGGTTTGGGGTCAAGGATTTGGGGTATAGGGTTTAGGGTATAGGGTTTAGGGTTTGGGGTTTAAGGTTTATGGTTTAGGGTTTGGGGTTAGGGGTTTGGGGTTTGAGGTTTTGGGTTTATGGTTTATGGTTTAGGGTTTGGGGTTTAGGGTTTAGCGTTTAGGGTTTGGGATTTAGGGTTTATGGTTTAGGGTCTAGGGTCTAGGATCTAGGGTTTAGGT